CTTTCTCTTTGATTGATATTATCCCAGAAGGAGAAAGTGAGAACTCTGCCTTGGTTTGGACTGACTGATAACTTTGGGACTGCTTTATTTTTTTTATTTTCTTTTGAATATTCTGGTTGTTGTAAGAAGAAAGAAGGGGAAAAGAAAAGAAAAGATTTATAATGGCTCTTTCTGTTGAGGAACTAAGAAAAGAATATGAACAAGCAAAAAAAAATGGTAAAGATGGTGTGGAAGAAGCTTTCCTTTTTTTAGAAATGGCGCTTACTAACTATCAACAAACATTACAACAGATGAAGACAGCAGAGGAACAAGAAAGAAAGGAAGGAGCCATTTTTAATGAATCTCAGAATTTGATCAAGAAAGAAGGAAGAGAGAAAAGAAGAAAACTAAAGGACTTAAGATCTAAAAAAACATTTAAGAAAGGGAAAAATAAGGTGCAAAACCAATATGATGATAGTAAACAAAAGGGAAAAGGAATACGACAGAGAAGGGAAGCCAGTAAGGCAGAGGCTAGAAGAAGGGGGGGTAGAAAGGTTTGTTGGGAGAAGAAAGAAAGGGAAAAGGTGGAGAAAAGCTACAATGTTTTGAAATTAAACGAAAAAAAGAAATTTTTTATGGATAATGGATAAAGTATAATTTTTTTTAAAAGATTTTGCAAGGTACATAAGATGAGATGGTAGTATTGTAATGGTTTAAGAGTTGATAAGAGATTAAAATGTTAAAATGTTTAAAAATGATTGGCTTTAAAATTTAATAATAGGGGAGGTTTAGAATACTGTTTTAATTAAAGAGTTTAATAAGATTATGGTATTGATGTTATTATAAAATTTTTATTATAGTATTTTTTTTTAATATTTGGATTTATTGTCTAATTATGTACTTAATTATTTTGGATGTAATAGTTAGATAGAATGTACCAAGCAAAATCGGATTGGGTATTGGATATTATTTTAAAGATTAATTTGATTAACTTAGGGGGGAGATAGAAAGGCATCATACTCTGATTAATGATTTCAGGAGAAACCTATTTTCTTCTTTTTTATAAGGAATGAGACAAAGGGATGATAAAAAATGGACAAAAGATACAAATATAATGATTCAAATTAAGATGATTAATTAAGATAGAATTAAGAAGGGTGAAATATGTGGAGAAGTTAATATAGAAGGCTTAGAATGGTAAATAAAATAAGTAATGATATGTAAGATGAGCATGAATATAATTGAAGTCCATGAAGAGAGAGATACCTGGGTCCAAGTTACTTTCCAAAAAGATTTTTTTTATGTTTTGTGTGTTGTGTGTATATGTTTTTTTGGGGGGGAGAATTAGTTAAAACTTGTAGAAATATAGAATGAGAATAATGGTAATTAAGTCAGAAAGAAATAGATGAAATAATAATAATGATATTGAATAAGAGTAAAGAGAAGTAAAGAGAAATTGAATAAGAGGTTTTTGTATGTTATATGGAAATGGTTTAAAACAGAATCATAATTTATCTGACTTGTTAAATTTACAATGAAAAAAGGTTTAAACATGTAATGAATAATGATAATTTGTGTGTTTTAAAAATTAATAAAACTTGTTTAAAAAAAAAAAAAGACTATTTATCAGTCATTAATAGGTAGTTTATCATATATAAGTAATTGGTCAAGGCCAGATATTGCTTATGGCGTTAATCAATTGGCGAGATTTAACGCTGAACCAAATGAACGTCACTGGCAAGCGCTAAAGCGAATATTAAGGTATCTTAAAAAGACAATGCACTATGCATTGTATTTAGAGCCAAAAGATGATTTGATTTTAAGTGCATATGCTGATGCAAGTTTTGCAACAGATATGAAAACTAGAAAATCAACTTCTGGTATGGCTATACTATTAGGTAAAACACTGATTGGTTGGAGGTCAATTAGACAGCAACATATAAGTATGTCCACAATGGAAGCAGAATTTTCATGTTTATCTTTATTATGTACTGATTTAATTCTGTATAAACAGTTGTTGTTAGATATGGGAGTAACTGTTAAAGATGCCATTGTAGTGTATGAGGACAATCAAGCAGCCATACGGTTGGCTACAAATATTGCTGTAAAGACTAGATCTAAGCACACTGACCTTAGATATTTGAATGTTAGACAATCTGTGAAAAATGGTCTGATAAGATTGGTCTATTGCATAACTGAAGAAAATTTTGCAGATGGATTTACAAAAGCCCAAGGTGCAGTAAAGCACAAGGAAAATTGTGAAAACTATGGGTTGAAATTGTAAATAGATATATATATATTATTATATTACTCAAAAGGGGAGAATGTTACACAATACTGTAAACAGACAGCTGTGTTTTATTAATTATAGTTTAATATCCAGATAAAGATGGCACAAGTCAATTTACAAAGTTTGTCTCTAATATCCAAACTGGATGGAACAAACTATGTTTCATGGTCTATGAAATGCAGCCTACTTCTACGCAGAGAAGGTTTGTGGAGTATAATACAAAACCCACCAGAAGTAGATGCATGGGATCCGGAGGGTGTATATCCCTAACAAGGTGCCTGCGGGAGCATAGGTTTCGAGGAGCACTGCACCAACAGCCACATCAGAAGCATCTGTTTCCACCACAAATGGCTGGCCTGGATCAGGGTGTTTGAGGATAGGCTCAAAAGCAAAGGCGACATTCAACGCCTCGAAAGCTGCCTGCTCCTCAGCACCCCAATGGAACTTCTCCACCTTCTTGAGCAGATTAGAAAGGGGAGCAGTCAAGGCAGCAAAGCGGGGAATAAATGTGCGGTGGTAGTTCGCAAACCCCAACAGTCATTGCACATCCTTAACCCGCTGTGGAGGTTCCCACGCCTGCAACAATTGAATTTTTTCCGGGTCCATTTCCACCCCAGCAGGTGAAATACGATGTCCCAAGAAGTCAGTCGTGGTTTGTGCAAACTGACACTTCTCACGTTTAGCAAACAGGTGGTTATCACACAAACGTTGCAACACTAGCCGCACATGCTGCCAATGTTCCTGCAGGAAGTCTGAGCAAATCAAAATGTCATCTAAATAAATGACCACGAATTGAACACGGAAAACATTGTGCATGAAATGCATGAACACAGCTGGGGCATTGGTTAATCCAAAAGGCATCACAGAATCCAGGTCCACAGATCCAGGTCCACGAGCGTAGCCACACTTTCTGCACAGGAGCGCAAGCAATGGTTGGCAGACTTCCTATCAAGGAACTGCACAGCTCCAGACGACCAGACAATCTATGGATCATGGGCCTGTAGCCACTCCAAACCCAGCACCACCGGAGTGCGGCAACGTAAAACACGGTTTCCTCCACATGCTGCCCAATATGCATGGAAAGGGGTTTGGTTGCAGCAACCACAGGTCCCGAACGAAGGGGCCGACCATCAATCGTCTCCAGCATTACTGGTGGGGATACCTGTTGCTGAGGAATGAACCACTGCTTGACAAAATGAGCATCCATGAAATTGGCTGTGGCCCCTGAGTCGACCAAAGCTGGGATCTCCACCGCTCCCACACCAGGCACGAACACACTTGCTGGCAGCACAAGATGCTTCACCAATAGCGACTGTGGTGGAGATGTTGAAGATGTCAAAGGTGGAGAGGGTGGCAAGGTTGGTGAAGATGGTGGGCCTATGGACTTTACACCCCGACCTGCAGACCCCCGTAGGCCGAGCGATGCTCGTTTCCTGCCACCACAGGTGTCGCTGCTGTGAATGTCTTAACAGGACACTTGGCTGCAAAATGGCCTCGATTGCCACAATAGAGGCATAAACCATCACAACGACGTCCATTATTTTCTACTTGAGTAAGGCGAGGGCGGCCAGCCCCCAACTGCATGGGTTCCTCCAAAGGCACTTCCACCAAGGGCGCCATCTTGCTGGAAACAGATACGGTCGCTGTCCATCGTCGCACCCATCACTGCTGAAGTCTAGCATTGATACAAAGACACAAATGCATGAGCTCCTGAAGGGTGGGAGGGCATTCAGTGTGTGCCAACTCATCCAGGAGCTCCAACGACAAACCCTCCTGGAACTGGTCTAATAGTGCTGCCTCATTCCATCGTACATCCTGAGCAACCATCCGAAAACTAGCAATATAATCCATGAGTGAGCCACGCCCCTGCTTCAACTCTCTCAAACGTCTGTTTGATGTTTGGCTTCGAACAAGGTCCTCAAACATGGCCTGAAACTGACGGCAAAATTCGGCATAATTGTCCAACACCTGGTTGGGCTGGGTCAGCAGAGGCATCGCCCTATGTGCTGCAGAGCCTGACAACAAACTTATCAAAAAACCCACCTTATCCTGGTCAGTGGGAAAGTCCTCAGGCCGAAGGCTCATGTAAAGCTGGCACTGCCCAAAAAATGCTGGAAATTGGGCCAGCGAACCATCAAATTTATCTGGCACTGCCACTGGGCATTTTTGGCGTGGCCGGGCAGCTTGCATTTGTGCCACCTGTGCAGTCAAAAGAGCCACTTGCTGGCTTAACTGGGCAATCTCTGCTCTGAGCTGATCCATGGTCACCCCACAAAAAGCAAAAATAAGTTGAAGGGGTGGCTGAAGTCAAAATGTGATGACCCGTAGTCTCTCAAAATAACCCAAAACCCAAAACATATATTAAAGTCCGGTAAAGCCTTCAACTTAACTTCACTGTTTTATTAGGCACAGTTTAAAGTCACAAAAGTAAATAATGAGGCAAACAAAAAACCAAAACAAACCGAATTCATGAGCGTTCTGAAGCAAGCCGAGATAACTAATTATAAACTCCAGGAAAATAACCCAGAAAAGTCCATGGGAAGAACGCCAGCAAAGATAAGCCTCTTTCAAGGTAAACACTAATTGACTTCAGCAATTCTAACTGCGCAGTTGCAAACGTATATACATATACCTCTGGAGCCACACTCCCACTCCCTCTTGGCTGTTCCTCTTCTTCCTCAGAGTCAGACTCCACCAGGGGCATGACAAGAACTGAGGTTCATGAGCAAAGGTATAGTTTACTGAAGGTCAAGTGAAATACAGTAAAGCAAAGCCAGAACAGAGGTGCGTGCCAAAGGTATTGTTTACTGAAGGTCAAGTGAAATAAAATACAGCAAAACCAGAACTGGGGTTCGCGTTCCAAAGTTATAGTTTAACAGTAAAGCAAAGTCAGAACTGAGGTTTGTGCACCAAAGATATAGTTTACTGAAGGTCAAGTGAAATGCAGTAAAGGAAAGCCAGAATTGAGGTTTTCTCACCAAAGGTATAGTTTAAAAGTAAAGCAAAGCCAGAACAAAGCTTGGCGCGGCAAAGGTATAGTTTACTGAAGGTCAAGTGAAATACAATGAAGCAAAACCAGAAATGAGTTAACCTTCCCAAAGGTATAGTTAAACAGTAAAGCAAATTCAGCACTGAGATTTGCATGCCAATGGTGTAGTTTACTGAAGGTCAAGAGAAATACAATAAAGCAAAGCCAGAACTGAGGTTCACTCACCAAGAGCATAGTATTACAGTAAAGCAAAGTCAGAACTGAGGTTCGCACGCCAAACGTATAGTTTACTGAAGGTCAAGTGAAATACAATAAAGCAAAACCCGAACTGAGGTTCATTGGCCAAAGGTATAGTTTACTGAAGGTCAAGTGAAATACAGTAAAGCAAAGCCAGAACAGAGGTGTGCGCCAAACGTATAGTTTAACAGTAAAGCAAAGCCAGAACTGAGGTTTGTGCTCCAAATGTATAGTTTAACAGTAAAGCAAAGCAGAACTGAGGTTCGTGCGCAAAAGGTATCATTTACAGAAGGTCAAGTGAAATGCAGTAAAGCAAAGCCAGAACTGAGTTTCGTGTTCCAGAGTTATAGTTTAACAGTAAAGCAAAGTCAGAACTGAGGTTTGTGCGGGAGGGCGGAGCTGGCGCTATGACGATACAGCATGCGATCTTGGAGGTCTGAGATCGCTGCCGATATCTTTGCTCCTGGATGGTCCAAACGGATCTAAACTGTCCCGAAGAAACGGTGAATGTAAAGAGCGCATCCTGTCGATCCCAGGGACACTGCAAAGTCCCTGGTAGATCCCGGAGAAGCTCTTTTTGCCAGCGGTAAAGAGGCAGCCATTAAAATTGCTGAAGTTGGGACAGCTCCAAAACGAAAGAGAACGGAAGGAGAAAGTGTGCCGGTTTGGTGAGAACTTTTTCTTTATTTTAAGATTTGAAAGGACACCCTAAGGAAAAGAAAGAATCTGTAAAAGTTTTGACAGAAGTGATTAAGCGGCGCTTTTAAACAGGAATGTCAAAGTAATATTTTTATTTTTTTTCCTCATTGCTGGATTTTCTACACATGATTTTATATTTTGAAACCGGACTGTTTTTTTTTTCTTCTTTCACCTATTCTTTCTCTCCTTTTTGACTTTGTAATATTCTAGGCTAGAGACTCCCTTTTAGTCATCTTTTTAAATATCTTTTTCCCTTTTTAATTAATTTTTATTATATTTTGTTTGGAAAAGGAGGGGGAAAGTGAAAGCAAAAGAAACTTTGTAACACTGCCAACTCGAGGCTTGGAAATATTTTATTTCTTTTTCTTGACCAGACAAAGCTGAGGAAGAACTGAGACTTCTTTTCAAGGACATTGCTATTTGATAAGATAGAGGGAAGAGCATGGGAGAGTGTTACTGCAGGTGGTCTTCTGGGTTTCTATCAACAGCTGGAGTCTGGTGTTGAAGCTTATAGAAAAAAAAAAGGTGATAAGACTCTAGAGAAGAGAGTTATAAATTTTAACAAAAGCCTTGGATAATCAAACAAGGTGCAGTGTGCTCTTTTTATATATATATTTTTAAGCTGCGCTATTTCTTACTTTAACAAACCCCCTCCTTACTAGTTTACTTTTTGTAATAGCTATTTGGATTTTTGGCCTTTTGGAACTTGCTTTTGTCTTTCTTTTTGTCTTTTGACGTTTGCATTTTATTTTAAAGGAAAAGCTTTAGTATTAATGATTTCCTTCCTTTTCTTTTTAAGGGAGTAGTCTCTTTTCTTTTTTCTCTCTCCCTCCCTTGTATTTTTTTTTCTATTTACCTTCCAAATTTGCTTTTTTATTTTTTATTTTTTTTATTTTAATGATTTTTATTAATTTTCAATAAACAAACATACACAAACAAAACACAAAACATAAAAACATAAAACTTCTTTTTGGAAAGCGGCCTAGTCCCGGGTTACATCTTTTGGTACAGACATAAATCAAGTGCTCACTTTATATACCATTTCACATCTTATTTACCATTCTATATTTTCTATATGGCTTCTCCCCTCTTTTCACTCTCTTAATTCTATTTTATTTATTTCATCTCGATTTAGATCATTATACTGATATCTTCTGTCCGTTCTGTAATCATCTATTTTTCTTTTCTTGTTAACACAATATTTCTCCTGTAATCACTAATTGAAGTATGATGCCTTTATATCTTTCCCCTAAATTTAACACTTAAAATAATATATAATTCTCATTCTGATTCTGCTTAGCACATTCTAAAACTACCTACTACCTTTTAAGATAGAAAAATAATAAATGTATAATATAATTGAAACAATAATCCATAATATATTAAACGTTATCATTTATGCATTTTTGGTATTTTGTTAAATCATATAAAGATTCAGTTTTCTAATATTGTTTCAAGTAAAGATACAAGAATACAATCTTATGTACTTTTGCAGAATCTCTTTTGTAATCCTAGTCTTTTTACCACCACCACCCCGTCTCTTAATCTCCACCCTCTTGGTCTCCACTCTCTTCTATAAACACAAGCTATTTCATTTAGCCCTTTCTTCTTTTTAAACTTTCTCTTCCTGGGGTCTATCTTTCCCCTAAATTTAACACTTAAGATAATATATAATTTCCATTCTGATTCTGCTTAGTACATTCTACATACATTTTAAAATAAGAAAATAATACATTTATAATATAGTTGAAACAATAATCCAAAGCAAATTAAACTCTATCATTTTAACATTTTACATATTCCCTTTAATATTTTATTAAATCATATAATATTCCAATTTTCTAACTCTATTTCAAATACAATACTACAATACAATCTTGTGTGCTTTTGCAGAATCTCTTTTTTAATTGTATTTTACCCTTTGTCTCTGAAAAAGATCTGTTTTTTTACATCTTGTTTCAAGCCTTTGTAACTTCTCTTCCCTTTTTCCCTTCCTTTCTTGTCCAATCTAGCCTTTTTACCCCCCCATCTCTTAATCTCCACCCTCTTAATCTCCCCTCTCTGTTGTATTCCTCTTTTCTGTTGCTTTCTGACATTGTATCGATTTTTCACCTTATTTTTCCTTTTTTTGGTTGTTTTTTAAAGTCTTGAATTCTCCATTCTCTTTCCCCTCTTTCCCTTTTCTTCCTCAACTAAAGTTATTTGTTCATTAAAGTTGGCTTCTTCTTCTTCATCCCAATTTTCTTGTTGTTGTAATTCCTGGTAGGTAGAAATCGCCATTTCCAAAAAGTGAAAAACAGATCCAGAAGAGCCCTTCCCTTCTTGTTCCTCTTCTCTTAACTTTTGAAATTCCATTTTCAATTCTTCAACAGATAATGCCATTGTGAGATTTTTTAAACAACCCAAAAGTTTTTAGTCTTTCAAAAAATAGTTTCCAAAAGTCCCAAAGTTACCAAGGAACCCTAATCAACACAAACTGTTTCATTTAGCACTTTCTTCTTTTTATACTTTCTCTTCTTGGGGTAGAATCAATTGCAAAGTTCCAAAATGTATTTTTTAGAAGTCTTATTACAGTTTGTCTCTGGTCTTATAAGCTCCAAGCAATCTCCTCCAGCAAAGTCTTAATATAAGTTCTTTATCTCTCCCTTCCCACTTATAGCAAAAAAAAGAATTTTTAAATTTTTTGATTCCAATGTTCAAAAATCTTTAATATCCCCTTGGTTTTATTTTTCAAATTTAATTACCTTCTGTTGCCAAGATGGGTTTTTCCAATTTCCTTCTGTTATTTCCATAGGGAAGGAGAGTGAGAAAAAAAACTTTCCCTTTTAATTTTCTTCCGCCGCTTTTTACGATCTTCTTAGGGAACAATGTATTTTTAAGAAAGTTGAATTTCCAGGGTATTTAGATGGTACTTGTTATCCCGGTTCAGCCAAAAACTTTCACTTTCTCAGCTTCCTCCTGCACAGTCTTGTCCGGATGAAAGTTTCTTTGTGGCGGCCATTGCTGACCGCCGCTCCACCGCTTTTGGAGAAAGGAGTTGAGCCAGCTGAGGAGGGGGGTTGCGATCCCCCCGGACCCCTGTTGGGCCTCCTCTATCTTCAGTCACCTCTACGGGGTGACTATTAACCCCCAAATCCAGCTGGATCGGGGGCACACCAGCGGCGAGCGCGACAGGAACCACGCACGATCGGGGATTCCTGCCGCCGCCAAAGCCTTTCAAACCGGAAGTCTTTATTTTTTATTTTTGTGGCTTTCTTTTTTTTCTTATGCATCCTTTTATACCTGAGACCTCTTAATTGGATTAAGGTGTTGAAGAACCTGAAGAACTTTTCTTTTCTCTTTTTTAGTTTTTTAGTTTTTACTTTTGCGCCTTTTTCAGGATTTAACAATTTTTTCTTTTTGTGTGTGTGTTTATGGTCTTTTCTTCCATTTTTGAGTTTTTACTGCTATCTAGCCAATCAATTGGATTAAGGAATACAAGAACCTGAAGAAATTAATATTATTATTATTATTACCACTATTTGGTTTCTTTTTTTCTACTATTTTTATTTGGAATTGCAATTGGTTATTTCACAAGTGGATTAAGGTTTAGAAGAACCTGAAGATTCTGAATTGTTAGAAATGAGTAGGAAACTAACAGCCCCTGGTTCCTCAATTTCTACTTCTTCCTCTTCACCATCTGGAGGACAACATTCAATACAGACAATGTTACAGCAAGAAAAAGAACAGGAAAAAGTGACCCTGCAGATGTTTATGCAAGGAATTCAAAATATTCAAGTAAGAACAGAGAACATTGAAAAGAGAACAGAGAACATTGTTTCTTGTATGCAAATTATATCAACGTTTTGTTTTATTAGTTTGGTTAGAATCCTCTTCCTTTTAGCTCTTGAATTTAGGCCGTTTATGTTGATGGAAAGGATTTTACTTCCTTCCTCCATTTACTTAAGTCTGCCTCGCTTTTTGTCTCGTAATTATACGGCTCTCTTCTTGTAGTTGGTATGGGGATGTTTCTACTCTTTCTTGTTGTAAGTTGTCTTTTCCTTGAGTTTGGACGGGTCTTTCTTCTTTGTTCCTATGGCGGTTCCGATCTTCCTGCATGTTCCTTTGGGTTTCCTCCCTAGTGTGTTGATCCTCCGTGGTTGTTAGCTGTTCTAGGAAGTCTTGTGCTTGTTCTATTGAATCTATTTTAATTTTTCTTCCCTTCCACCATATTAGCATCCCTTCTGGAATTTGCCATTTGAATGAGATTTCTTTTTTATTTAAGTGGTTAGCTAAAAATTTATATTCTTGCCTTAAGGCCCTCACTTTTCTTGGAATCTGCTTGAGAACTATGATCTCTTTGCCCTTATATAATATTCTCTCATCTCTGGCCATTCTAAGTATTAGGTCTCTCACGCATCTTCTTGAAAAGCGGATGTGGATGTCCCTTGGGCACTTGTGACGCCTTGTGTAACTGGTATTCACC